AAAACAATGTTAAAATGTTGAAAATCGTGCAGACTATGGCTTAAATACAATCTATAGTAAGTGTAAGTAAGTAGTATGTGAAAGGTAATTCCGTCTTATTTTGTTTAGACATCTGAACGGTTAGAACATTTCCAAGYCGTACAACCACGAGGCATTTTGCTTTCTCCTCTCTGCCACCTCCAATATGGCGGTGACATGGTTATGCCGTGKAGCCTCTAGGGCACATATGGATGTCTATGGTACCGGTCCCTCACGCTGGTCGTCCGCGGTGTTCCTCTGGTGTTTCTGGTGAAACATGTCGGTGTTTCATGATGAGGTGGAGATCGAGGACTTTGAGTTTGACGAAGAGACGGAAACATATTCTTTCCCGTGTCCCTGCGGAGACAGATTCATCATAACCAAAGTGAGTTCACCTGACAGCTAATCAGGCTAGCTCCCACACCAAACTCTGCTTTATTTTTCTCTGATTTTAACTTCAGCATTTCTTTTTACCACCAGGTGTCTTACAGATTTTTWAAAAATAATTTATAAGGGTAAAAKAAGTTCTATCTCAAACATACTTTTTCTGTTATTTTTATATTTTAATCAAATACAAGTCAACAGATAAACTCAGGATTTGTCTAAAATTATCCTAGAACCTGAAGAGTGTTGGTTTTTTTTCCTTTCAGGAGGACCTGGAGAACGGGGAGGAGGTGGCCACATGTCCAAGCTGCTCGCTCATCGTTAAAGTCATCTACGACAAGGTAGCTGGACTCTGGTTCTGGACCACAGAATGAGGTCCAGATGGACCCACCACCTCTTCAGACTGGAGAGCAACTCAGACTCAAACCTTGTTGTTTGTGTTTCAGGAGCTGTTTATGACAGGAGAAATCATTGAGGCTTCATCAGAAGAACCCAAACTGCAGCGGGCCTGAACCTGGACACAAGTTTGAATAAACTTTATTCAAACACAAACAGAGGGACAGAATGGAAAACTGCAGGACTTGTCTGTGTGGTGCCTTCAGGTACTGCTGGGAATCGTCAGACTCTGAGAGATGCGGCTGTTAGCAGTGTCGGGGAATGAAGGTCCACAGCTGGAGTCCAAAAGAAAGTGAAGGAGATGTCCAACAGGAAGAGGAGATGTCTGGATAAGTGCTGGGCGGTATACCGTTATATACCGAATACCGGTTTTTATTTTTGTTATGATATGAATTTTTTGAATACTGGACATTCCGGTTTAAATAGCGGAACGTTTCGTCGCGGCCGCCAGTGAACTGTTGTTTCCTGGGGGACATTTTCCTCGCAGCACCGCTATGTGCGTTAGCATGCCAATGTTTGGAGCAGCTAATTGCAGCAGTGGGTGGTGATTCCACTGCTTATATTGACTGACGTTTAAAAAAACATCCTGTTTTCACCATCGCTGAATGTAGTAAACACCTCTTCAGTGACGTGCACAGTTAGATTTAAYRMGGTTAGTTAATATGGAGACGTTATGCTGATGGAGACTTAACGTGGTTCTGTTGTGAAAAGCTGCAGGAAGTAGTTYRTAGTGGAGTTGGAATTGACTGGTGTGCAAGGTGAGTCGTGCTGATAAGCTTTAATAAATAACATAAAACAATAAACCCGATCATAATCTTTTCTTAACCCTCCTCCTTCACGACTGGACCAAAATGTGTAACTACTGTCTCCAACCACCAGTCAGAGAAGAACAGACACAGAGGAGGGAAACAACAACACGGACAGAGATACAGTAAAAGAAAAAAGTCAATAAGCAGTTTTTGTACATTTTATTATCAGCTGAGCTGTGATGAAAAGAAAAATACCGTCAAATACCATCGAACCGGTGTAAATGTTGAAAATACCGTGACATAAAATTTTGGTCATACCGCCCAGCTCTAGTCTGGATGAGGTCAAAGTTGACAGAAACCTGTTGAACAGCTGATTGGATCAATTAAATATCTGTAGAACTGGACCTAAAGAGTTTATTAAATGTTAATAAATATATTTATGATGACTTCTCAGTCAGCTCCACTTTGTCTAATACAGTTCACATAAAACCTTTATTAATTTTCTGGTTTCACATAAAATTTAACCCAGCTTCAGATCTGCAAACGTCTTCAACTTCTTTACAAAGTTTTAACTTCCTGTATTTATTTTTACATTAAATAAAAACTTCAGAACACGCCGAAGGACTCGATCCTCTACAGGTCCATCCTGTCTCAGGGCACGTCCAGGTGTCTGTAGGACATTTGTCCCACAGGTGGACACAGAAGAGAGTCGGGGCTTCGTTTTGTTGAACTACGAAACACTGGAGTGCACTGTGTGAGATTCATGGCAGCCATCTTGGGAGGAGCTACTTGTTCCTGTCTGAACAGACTGACCCCCAATAAACACTGCTGAGTCAGCAGTTCATAAGAGCTCAGGAAGAAAACTGAAACTGAAGAATCACTTTTAAAAAAAAGAGATGTCATAAATTCTAAATTAATACTTTGGATCAAAACTGTGTTTCAAATTCTGGATCTCTGAAGTGGCACACAAACACCAGAAATTACAAGAAATAGGCAGACTTAACTGCCGAACTTGTAATCAGAAGCGAACTTCAGGTAGACTGTAGGTGTGTACAGTTGCCTTTGAAGTCATGTGTCTCCTCAGACATTTTAAAACATGTTTTAATGTGCAGATATAAATATATAAATATAATAAGGACTTTATTAAGGAATTCTCTGACTTTTTGTCTGGAGTTATGGCCAAATATGAACATGTTTTAGTCATTGGGGATTTTAATATTCACGTGTGCCATTGGTCAAAGACTTTTTAAATATTTTAGATTCTTTTAATCTTGTTCAGTCTGTGTCAGGTGCAACACAAGAACACGGCCACACCCTGGACCTTGTGTTGTCTTTTGTTTTACCGGTTTTTAACGTGGAATTATGTGACGCTGTGTTTTCTGATCACTGTCCTGTGCTGTTTGAAACCTCTTTGCACTGCTGTGATTTTAAACCTTTGACTCCGACACGTCGTCGTGTTTTTAAGTCCTCTGCAGCTGAACAATTTTCTGTTGTTTAGAAACAAGGTTTAAGAGTGTTGCCCTGGTTTTATTACTGGTTTTATTACTGGTTTTTATGTTGGTTTTGATAGTGGTTTTAATACTGATGAGATTACTTCCATCTTTTATCATAAATGCGTACATGTTCTTGATGTTGTTGCTCCTCTTAAGACAGTTAAACCAAAATCAAAGTCTGAACCTTGGTTAACTGAAGCCACTCGTTCTGCCAGACGAGAGTGCAGGAAGGCTGAACGAAAATGGAAAAAAAGATAAAMTGCAGGTGTCTTTTATTATGTTTAAAGAGAGTCTGTTCAGATACCAGGACATTGTCAGGGTTGAAAAAGCTAAGTTCTTCTCTAACATGATTGTGCTCACAACCCTCAAATTATCTTTTCCAGCATCGACTCTGTTCTGAACTCCCCTCCGTCTTCATGTCTCGACAACTCTCCTGAAACTCGTGAGAAGTTCCTGCAGTTTTTTATCAATAAGATATAAAACCTCAGATCACTAATCACTCAGCCATCTCGTTATCCTCCCATCTCCATCACATGTTCTGCTGTCTTCCATCGGTTTGAGCCTGTGTGTTTTAACCAGCTGGAGAAAATAATTAACAACATGAAGACTTCATCCTGTCCTAATGATGTGGCCCCAACTATTTTTTTAAAGAGAGTTTTTTTTTAAAGCGGTTGGTTCTGACATTTTAGAGATTTTTAACAGCAGTCTCAGTTCAGGTGTGGTTCCAGCCTGTTTTAAACATGCAACTGTGCAGCCGCTGCTGAAGAAGCATAACCTGGACTCATCTGTCCTTTCAAAATTTAGATCTATTTCCAAACTTCATTTTTTATCAAAAGTTTTAGAAAGAATAGTTTTTACTCAGCTGCGGTCCTGTCTAAGTAATCACAAAATTTTTGAAATTTATCAGTCCGGTTTTAAAGCATTCCACAGCACAGAAACTGCACTTTTAAAAGTTTTTAATGATCTTTTAATCACTACAGATTCTAGAGACTCTGCTGTACTTTTGCTTTTAGACCTGACAGCAGCATTCGATACAGTAGACCACAATGTTTTACTTTCTAGGTTGGATCAGTGTGGCATCAAAGGCACTGCACTGGATTGGTTCAGGTCCTATCTGTTTGACAGGAGTTTCTCAGTGAGCCTTGGAACTTATGTTTCCTCCTCAGCTCCTGTCACATGTGGAGTTCCCCAAGGATCTATCCTTGGTCCTATTTTATTCTCCATATACATGCTTCCCTTAGGCTCCATTTTTAGAAAATTTAACATCCCTTTTCACTCCACAGATGACACCCAGATCTACCTTCAGTTGAGACCTAATCATTCTTCACTAAAACCATTGTTTGATTGCATCACTGAAGTCAAAGCTTGGATGGCTTCAAACTTTCTAAATTTTAATGAAAACAAAACTGAAACTATCATCTTTGGACCCAGTGGTAATCGCAGTGCTTCTCCTAAGGATCTGGGTGCCTTGGAACCATCTGTTAAATCGCATGTCAAAAACTTGGGTGTGATCTTTGACTCGAACTTCAACTTTGAGAAACATTAATTCTTTAGTAAAAGGATCATTTTTTAAACTGAGACTTTCATCTAAAATCAAATCGTTTTTATCTTTCAAAGACGTTGAATGTGTGATCCATGCTTTTATTACATCTCAGCTGGACTACTGCAACTCTGTGTATGTTGGAGTTAGCCAGGCTGGCCTCTCACGCCTGCAGCTGGTTTAAAACGCTGCAGCACGCCTTTTAGCATGGACCAAGAAGCGTGATCATATCTCCCYGGTGCTGGCTTCCCTTCATTGGCTCCCTGTGTGTTTTAGAATTGATTTTAAACTTTTACTGATGACCTATAAGGCCCTGAATGGACTAACTCCTGAATACCTGTCTGASCTCCTGCAGCCCTATGTGCCMTCCAGATCTCTTAGATCCAGTGATCATTTGCTCTTRGCTGTCCCRCGGTCCAGACTGGTCCACAGAGGTGACCCAGCCTTTTCAGTTGTGGCTCCTAAACTGTGGAACCAGYTGCCTCTTCACATCAGACWGGCCTCCACTCTTGGAGTTTTTAAATCTCKTCTTAAAACACACCTRTTTTCAAAAGYTTTTAATGTAGTGTGAGAGTTGTTTCCYTATTTATTTGGTCTGTTTTTATGGTTTTATCATTTGTGTTCTTTTATCAATGCTTTGTTTTTAGTTTGCAATGTGTGAAGCACTTTGGCCAACGGCAGTTGTTTTTTTTATTTTTTATTTTTTTATTTTTTT